CGAAGACGCAACGTCGAGGCGAACAACAAGCATGGACCATCGACTCGGATCACCGGCTCTGAGGAAGACGAAGACGTCGAAACGTTAGCCGAAAATAAATATATTTATCAACCTCGTGCAAGCTTATCAAGAAAGAATACATATTGATTTGTCACACCGAGGTTTAGGGAAGGTCGGTTTCGAAAAATGTTGCTGAGATATTTGCAAAACTCTGGGCCGCAGGTGTCTATGGTGAGAACGAACGCGCTATTGTCCTTTCCGGGGAGTAACGCGTTCACCACCACACCATGCAGGTCCTTCGTTTCGCCTATCTCTCGGTCCAGAGTTTTGCAAATATCTCAGCAGCGTTGTGGTTGTAACGAGTGTTTTATCTGGCAGTAGTAAACCATGTTTACAAGAGAAGTACCCATTATGTACTGTGATGCGAATGGGACTCAAATTATCCAAAGGGTAACCAAGACTGCTATGTTTACCTCGTTCTATTCTGACTTTATGTCATCTGCCTACATTTTTGTAGGGTGTTGAAATAATATTCCGCTCGAAAATTTGCACACTTTCTTTTTAACATTACCCGACGTCATGCATTATGCATGATTTTAACATTTCTTCTCTTCGATTCGTTTCCTTGCGTCCGTCACCAGAATCGTCTAGGAGGATAACAGCACTGGCTCGATACGTCGATTGGCCTCCTTCAGTCATTGTAAAGGCCAGATATGCATTCGATCACCTACGAATGATGCTTAATGAAGTCTAATGCATGGCGCATCCTTCAGCGATTGATCAACGCCGAGAACTGTATCTTTCTTTTATTGACACAGATAGTTAGCATTCCCGTTGAAATATCTTTCATTTCGGTTTCAACCACTTTTTCTTTGTTTCTTTCCCATATAACTTCTTCGTTTCCTTCTAAGGTACTTTGTGTTCTTCTTTCCAGGCTTCCATTATCGGGAATTTTTAAAATTTCTATCGTAAATAACTCTCCACGTCATTTCTCGGGCACAGTATTTTCGAATCCAGGCTTATCACTGGTCAAAGAGTGTTAACGGAGTTTTATTCCAAAACAGGAAACAGCAGAAAGTTATGATAATAACTAGTTATGAGAAGAATACAAAGAGCAATGATTTGCTATAGGTCAGCTTCAGTATATATATATATATATATATATATATATATATATATATATTGCTCACGGCTTTATTATCTTAATCGACTGTAAGGTTTTTTTCTAGGTAAGTAGTTTATGCAGAGTTCATGTTCTACTCACATATTATAGCCAGTGGCCGACTTCCTCTAAATCATTCACTCTGTATTGTAACTGTTTATTAGATGGATAGAGTTTCTTCACGAAGCACGGTATCGTGTATAGGATCCAGTCTTTGATATTCAGTTGTTGCTGATTATTAACTTATTGAACTTTCTTTATATTCTTGTGAAATTACCGGACGCTTTTTTTAACTCTTTTTATACAGTACGAATTTCCAGAAGATCTTTAAGTGGACTGATCGACTTTTTTCTTTCTGATTTCCATAAAGGTGAATAGACTTTGGAAAGCACAGCAGTGGTTTGTGTGATATTTAAAAACGACTTGAATGCTTAAGGAAGTGAAATAAAGCTTACAAATAGCTGAGATTAATGCTGGATTTATTTTTAGGCTCCAATGAAGAGCATGATGCGAAGAAACTGGAACGATTTCTCGAAGATTGTTTCAGTAATGGAGTGGCCGTGGATGGTGTACAGGTAGATCTAAAGATTCGATAGCGATAACCGATAAATTGTATAAAATTAATTGTGCCGCTTCCCTTCCCCATAAATTTTCAGGCTCAATCATCTGCCGAATCGTCGGCGATGTGGCGCCTAAGAGAAAGTGCACCATTGGCAGTTAGCGCCGACGGTTTTGCCTACAAAAATGACGTTTCGCTTCCACTGGAACATTTTTATCAATTAACAGAAGTAATGTTTAAAAACTGACTTTTACTTAACTTCTTTTAAAAGTTGGTGTAATATTACCGATGTTCTTCTCCAAGAAAAGTTATTCTCATAAATATAAAGGCTTGTAGAATGCCCTATATCGAGAAGGTATTCTGTGTGATCGTGTCAAAGAACATTTCGGCTCAAAACCTGGAACAATTTCTAATCTATTAGGTTGTTCAGGAATTAATGCAGGATTTCAATCCGTGTGTTTTAAGTGGCATAACTTAGCTCAGCATATATAGTATATATATATATATATATATATATATGTATATATATGTATATATATGTCTATATATGTATATATATAACTAGTTGAAATAAATACCTTTAGTAATGTACAAATTTTTGTCTGTGAGAGACAGATTGTCTTATTCCGATTGCATCAAACTCCGAAGTACTGGAGGCGATGAAGTTGTCGAAAGCAGTTTCGGCGTCAACTTAGATTTTGAAGAATTTCTCGCGCATGAAGTTGTCGAAATTCTTGAGGAAATGGTAGTCAGTAGGGAGGAGATCCAGCAACTATGGTCGATGGAGCAGTTCTGTCGCCTAGCTCGTTCAATCTTTGCAGCGTCAAATGTGTGAAATGTGGCCGATCGTAGATAGAGTGACGTGCTGCCAATTCGTACAGCTTCTATAGAGTTTCTTCAACCATCTAATTTTCTTTAGATACATGAAAAAGTTGGAATACTTCATCGAGTTCTTCTATAGCTTTTCAACAAGTTGTGCATATATTTCATTCCACCACAGCATTTAGTTCATCATTGTCAGCAGCAGAATGACGTCAGCGACGTCCGTCTTTCTGAGGTCGAACTCACCACCACGAAATTTTCCAAGCCAATGCTGCACTATTCGTTAGATCACACTTTCTTGGTCCTATACCTTGTTAATCTTTCGATCCTTTTGCGCTGTGTGCGTTCGAGTTTGAATTTGTGAAAGTAAATCTCTTGAAATTGCTGCTTTGACATCCAGAATTCCAAGTTTTAGAATTTGTCATCAACACAATTTACGCTAACGTTCAGTCATACGGAGCGAAATTCCATAAAGTAGGCTTCGCAATCATCTATAATCGTAGAGCATTCAAAAAGAAAAGAACTATTGCTACAATGTACAATAAAAAGAAAACTGCAAATGCTGTATTAATTTCCGAACAACATAATACTTTGTCATAAGCGATGTAATCTCTACTATTGTTTATACATTTTCAACTAAGATTATACACCCACCCACCTGAGGCTCCCAGTTTTGCTCAGATCTCAGTATGCTCGTGGCTGTGTTCCACATAATATCTTATGATGACAAAAGAATAGGTAGTAACCAAAAGTTAAAGCATTAAGATTATATGGTTCCATTCCAATATCGCTTGCCCAACCGTTGGAAAATATCTGGTTTTTAACAGTATAACAACAGAATCCTCCCAACGGTTTACCCGTGGCTGAGAAGTGTCCCTGGGTGTCGAACTGCGATTTACAGCAAGGGGATTCATCCCCTGGCAGGGTCTCCCAAGCTGAGAAGGAGGCCGACGTTTTCGTCAGGAAGCCAAGCCAAGAGTAAACCAATACCAGGATCCACCATCGTCCTGGTATCAGAGTCTCATGGTGGAAAATCTCCCTCTGATCCACAAAGGCTGCGACTGACTATAGTGGTGACGACCTGGGGCAGACTTTAGCCAGGTTGACCTCGAAATTCCAGGGAACCACATTAGCTTAACCGGCAGATCTCCGAAAAGTGGAGATTATGCTGGGGTCCGCACAACCAGTGAGTGCGGGCCGTTCAAGTATCAAGTAAGTATCAGCAGCTGATTAGCGGGAGAGATGGCACAGAGCACAGTAGTTATAGGTGCACTTTAATGCACAATGGACCGTTTACTGGTTTGATCCTTCGCCATGGGCTCACCAGACCTTCCATCCCTCCGAAATCGGCAAATTAATACCAGACTTCCTACGACTAACTTTCTTTTAACTTCGGTATTGATTGATAATCCGATGTTTTTCTTCAATAAGCAGACACGAGGTTGTTATTATATAGGCCACCGGAAGTCATTGAATAAGCCAGGTATGCATGCGTTCAAGCACCCCTAGATGCATGATGAAGTTGAATACACGATGGACCTCTCAGAGATTGATCGACGCTGAGTGCTTTATACCTTATTCCCTATTCTTTAACAGTTAGTTATAAGCCGCTCCATATGGCGTTCGTTAGGGTCCTGTTTGGATTTCACACATTGGTACAACTGTGAAATATCACCGTATTGTTCAAAACTGAAATTATCATCCAATATTATCGTTTGTGAGACATGCTTATTATCTGTGTGTTTTGCTAATAATGTTTGGAAAAATTCAAAGTGGCCAAAAAGATAGCAGGAGTTTTCGCAAAATCGTGAGAAGTAATGGAAAGAAGAAGCATTCACTGCTGCTTATTTCCTAAAGGATACTCCATCAAGCATAGTAAACGTGATTAAGTTATATTTGGCCTTTAAAACTTACTACGTGCGGTATGTAATTGGTGTCGACTCGTGTGATCATGCTTGCGACTATGTGTGTGTTACGCGGCACCGATAATCGCCGTACTATATGCTTCTGTTGCGAAGTAAAATATAAAAAAGTGAGCTTTTCTAAATGATTTTGTTCTTTCTCCTCTATATTCAAGAAATGATTCGAGTTACCATAACAGAACTTGTTTTTCTGTTTGTTCAGTCTCAGAGTATCGTGGGGTATTCTGCTAACCGAAGTCATGGGAAGACCATCGTAGTCTCCATAGTTTGCCTTTTACCAGTACTTTTTAATGAAACTGTATCTACGAATAACTCGAAGTGCTGTGTTTTAATGAGCCGAATTTGTTCTCGGATATCGTAGTATTAATAAAAATAGGAATAATAATAATATTTCAAAGACCTCCTTTTTCCTTACATAAAAGGGTGACATCATCGGTTACAAAATGTTTTCGAAAAAAACAAATTTCAGGAGATCAGGGCACGGTGCGCGAAACTTGCCAAGAATATTGTAACTTACGGCCATCTTGGTGATGGCAATAGTCATCTAAATGTTACGTCGGAAGGGTACAGTCAGGAGCTGTATGACAGGTACTATTTTCGCTGTAATACATAGTCATTTATTAATATTTGTATAGGTATATGGAGTATTTTTGTTACTACTAAAGCTCGTAGAAAAGTAATACCACCTGTGTCACTTGTAACTGGTATTATTATCGATTAACACAATCGAGTAATGATGTGAAAGCTCTATTTGCTTCTTATGTTCATTATATCTGTGGAGTGATCTACAATCAAACGGCTAAGAACAACACTGACAGCAGCATCACGAGGCCCTTTACTACTTTATTTTCAAGAAGTTACACCCACTGTTCTTGGCCGGTCTCTTTCTTTGGAATTTAGTCGGCTCGTAGTGAAGTCATTGAACTCCTGTGATGCCGGTGTGGAACTTATTTGTTAGAAGCTTACTATTCACCTCACTTCAGTGTTTTAGTCAAATCATAACGTAGGGTGCAATTCGTTTGCAAATTCACACGTATACATGAATTTTATATCTTCTGTTGAAAAGCTGTAATTCAAAATCATGGTGTTCAATTCTTAAAAATCCATCTTGCTCTCAGGCGGGTGTAAATTACATGCTAGCTGTTCTATATGGTTGGCGTTAATCCGTGTATATTCCATCTGGAGGCACATCGCGTTGTATCGCAACTAGTCAGCTCGGCATTTTAGACCTGGAGCTATTTAGCTGTTATAAGTTACAAAAATAACTTCAATTTTGAATACTTTGAACGATAAACAACAAATGCTTCTATGCCTAATAATTACTGTTTGTGTTATTGTGGAGGGTTAGTTTTTTTTTTTTACTTTATAATGAATACTATTTCGCTCTAATTCAACTACATTACAGTCTTTATCCATTCCTCTATGAATGGGTGATAGCTCATGGCGGCTCGATATCGGCCGAACATGGTATCGGACAACTAAAACTGCCGTATTCTTCGTTAGGAAAGTCAGCAGCGGAAAGGGATCTTGTGTGGAAAATTAAAGCAATATTTGATCCAAGTGGAATTCTGAATCCATATAAAACCTTTTGATTAGCACGGTTTTCTCTAGTGGTTGGTTTCATGGTTACTAAATTTTCACTGTGTGATTGTATATGTGATTTCGAAATAGAGATGGTTAGTGTAGTTATCTCAGATCTGATTGGTAAAAGGGACCCGCTGATGGGTGATTGATGGTAGCATCATTATTGGTAAAAAGAACTAGCTGAGAAAGGCAAAGTTAGTGCCAGATATTCACTCATTCACTCTATGACACTTGAAATGGTGCATCGTCCATCTTTCAGAGGTTGAGCATTGCTGAACTCTTTATTCCTTGTTGTTTATTAGAGTATCCATAAACAGTAAAACTACAATTTTTTGTCGTTAATACTATGATTGGTAAGTGCTAAGGCCAAAGGGATTTTATAACAACGTTGTTAAACAAATTGGACTGCGCACAAATGAGACCCAGTTTATGGTGAACCTATGAAGCGAATATGAACAAATGGAAGTGTATAATTCTCCGATCGGAAGACCACCTTTCGTATGCACCTTGGACGTTTAATGAACAAGGAGAACTACATGAAGGAAGAATTAGCATCCAGGAAAATTAATGTATTACCGGAGAGTAAGGCACTTATGTTCAAAATAATTCTTCATCTTAGGTGGTACAGCTCGCCACCGTGTGGTGTTTTCATTTTTTCATTATCGTGCTTTAAAAGATGCTTTAAGGACGAACGATAGACAGTTTGCTGGAATAAGTGAAAGAAGTACTTGTGGAATTAAGTAAATTTTAGAAATGTATTCAGTGATAGATGTTAGAGAGAAACTGTACAAAACAATGAAAACACAGTACTGAAGTGAGAATTTGTTAATTTACATTTGTCCAAACGAACTCTTCTGTTTTGTCGGTCAAGAAGTGGACCAACATTCAAAAGTTCAGAATTTACACAACTCAGTAGGTGCGAACGTCTTCTACACTGGGGGTATTGACAAAGTTAACCGCGCAGCGTTCACTGTAGTACATCCATAAAACATTTCTACCTCTCCCTACATTCTATCCTTAAGTAGATATCCATTAATGGCACGAACATGCGCTTTGCCGACTAGTGACATTCGCGGAGTAAAGAATGCAATTTGCATAAAGTGAACCACTTATGGTCCATAGGAAAGGGCATGCGGGGTAGGTGGTGCTTCGTTTTGAAACATTCGTAGAGTCATTGAATTGCAGATCGTCCTTCATGGAACTATATAAGTTTCTATGACAACCCTAACGTAAATACAGCATGAATAATTGAATTGAAGAGGTAGAAAAATCCTACACCTTATGTTGTTTGACGGAAGTATTATTAATCCCGTTGACGGGTGATTGTTGATGGCAGCGTTAGGTAGGAAACTACCTAAGAGAAACGCAAAGCAAGGATCTCCGTTGCACAATGTGTAATGCACGAGCACACGGAAAGGGAAATCGTGGTTCGATCTGTCTTGGAGTCCGAGTTTTGCGAATATCCCAGCATCATTGTTGAAGTATTATTATTCCCAGGATTTACTGCGTGTAAACCTAAGTACTGGATTGACTATTGAAGCACTTGGTGTAGTAAATTGCGTATCAAAACACCATTCCAGCCCTTGGAAAGTGCGATACTTCTGAAACATCAGCTACTGTTGTATTGTATGTGTTTCTGTTATACGTATTGGCTTTAAGTTCAAACAAGTTGTTCTTATTACAAAAGCACCAGTACAAAGTTCTTTTGCTCGGCAATTGACAAAAATATTCAGTAAAATGTATAAGTGAATGCCTTTCAAGTTAAGCAAAGAACAGTTTTGAGCTGGAGCACTCGTTTGGAAACTTTCAAAATGAAGATGAAGATCTTGATGGTCTGGGCAGCTCATTATGGGCAATAATTATTTTATGGCTTTAGTTGGATCAGGTTTACTCACAGCTCGTTACGAACAAGGTGTAAGCGTAAAGACCACTCTAATACATCTCTACCAAGTAATAAAAGTGTGAGCGCGTCGTATTGTTGACAAATAAATAAATAAATAAATAAACAGGTACTCGCTACTAAACCTACTTTGCTCAGAGAAGCCTGTGCTTTGGCGGGTTCTTTGCAAAATCGCATAGTAAGGCTAAAGGAGAAGTCTTAATTCAAAACTCTTGCAACGTTGTTATAAACTATTCCTATAATTTTCTACTCAAAAAGTAAATATAGGTATATCAGCCTTTTCTTTCTTGTTGAGCGCTTATTCAAGACTTGATCTGTATAGAAATCAGGTGTAGCGGAATTGTGACCAGTGCAACCTCTATATGATTCGTAGCGAGTTGTATCGAATAAGGCGTTGTGTAGGCTAAATGGCAAGTATATGGCAAAGAACGCTTCCTATTCAAGTGATCTCTATTCACAAAAGTTCGCTAGTCGTCTTGAGTTTTTACTATCTACAAGAATCTAATGTTTACTATTCGAGTATCAAAGTAACATTGTGGAGCATTTGTATATTCGACGACAGAACAGAGTATTACAAAAGTCGAAAGAATTTCGACTAGATGATGTTGTGCCAAACGCCATCGACTCGCACTCGTTTCGGTTGGAAAAAGGGACATTCGATTTGCATGTTCACCGTCCTCGTACCACCTGACTTCATCTTGATTGTCACCACGACATCGATCATCACTCCTTCCATCTTCCCAAGTGGCGACACTTGAACCTGGAAAAACCGCTCATCCAACAGTGTCGCCGGATTCTCGTTCACGAAACAACGACTACATTAATTATCCTTATGACGGTATGGCCAAACAATTTCCACCAAAATTTCACACATTGGTGAAAACGAATGAGTTGGACTCTAGGCACTAACTGGACGTGAAAGCCAGTAAGATGTGAAATTTCTTTGATTTCAAGCCTCACCGATCCGGGCATAATTTCGGCTTTGTCGTAGGGAGAGCTGTTGATTGTTCCACGGCTTTGCGACTGCATTTCTTTGCTTGAACATTAGCATTCATTTAATCGATATTTACTTACTAATTTTCTGTGAACCTACGTCTCCTTTTCACGTGGTCGACGATCTTCTGGAACACTAGATGTAGCAGATGTGCATGATGAGCGCAACAATTCCGGACTTAACTGAATTGAGTAGTCAGCGAAACGTAAGTATCAATGAAGAAGAATACAACATTTCATGGAAACGGTAATAGATAGACTCGAGTAGAATTGCGAACTGCAGATTTTCGACGAATTAGTTGCGGGTCTTGCTTCCATAAAGTATCTTTGAAACGCCTGCCATGTACTTCTCACTCAGTTAATTTGAAGACTTCGTTGTGGCAGATTTAAGCAGGCGCATCTAGATGAAATGCGTGCAGCGCAATGGTTAGAGGCGCCCTGCAGTACACATGAGATCGGTCCAGTGCCTCAGGCTCACTAAGCCTTGCATTCTTTGGGCGTCTGCAGATAGGTAGCAAATATGTCTGGGCGGCACTGACTCGATACATCGATAGGCCACTGCGTCATTGTATAGCCCAGATATGCATTCAATGACGCTTAACGATGCTTGATGAAGTCGAATACATGGCGCATCCCTCAGAGACTTATCACAGCTGCGAGCTTCCTTTTTTTATTACATTGTAGACCAAATGCGAGAAAAAAATCTGTCACCGAATCTATTTGAGTCTTACAGTATATACGTGTTTAATTTCCGTCAGCTTTTAGCGCCACATCCTCAACAAAGAGGAATACCGCGTGGCTTTGCGGTTAACCAATTGGAGAGCCCCGTTCCTTGAGGGAGGTCCGTAATGTAGCAGAAGAATGATCTTTTGGGGAACTCTCACAAATTTCTGAACGCAATGAACAAGTGCGGATTAAGCTGCTTTGGAATATTTAGTCAGGAAATTTTTGTAACACCATGGGTGTGCAAACGATCATACGCTGCCGCTAGAAAGTCTCACGCCCAGAAAGAAAACTGTAAAGCTCTTTGAAACACAGGCCTTGTTCGATATTCAAAACGTTTTAAAGCAAGCTTGAAAAATAGTGGTGGAAAAGATGAAAATGTTTATCGCCTAGAAATGAAAAGGAATTGAACTTTAAGACTTCTCAGATCATCATGCAAAATCTACAGCATTGAAGCGGATGATACATACCTTCAAAGCTCTTCGACTTTTACTAGTAGCCACTTTGCTTGTCGCTTTGTCAAGGACGACGTCGTTTGTAGTCTTGCACGGTTGTGAGCCAGACGGATTGACGGCTTGGTCATATGATGACGATGTGATCACTTCGACGCGATCGCCATCTCGTGGTAAGTTAAGAAGCATCTAAACTATTGTAAAAACTATGTGGAATGACTCATTAAAGAATTAAAATGAATACTCCACTAAGTTTATCGCTAAAATTACTTGATCTTGAAGCGTTAAACACGTTTGTGTCCCTTGCTGTTTGTTGAATTTTTCCCTTTCGGATAGAGTATACTTCTTGATTGGAGCCTTGCATGACGCTAGCATAGCAGCTTACTCATTCACCGAACAGCACTACTGTAGAACACGCAAGATTCCAAGAAGAAAGAGTTTACCTTTTCAGCATCATTAATCGTGTTGATGATCAACTGATTTATACTATGTTGCACGGCCTTGGCGGAGAACGTGCTCATTGTGATGTGACGTAACTGAAAACAGACACGCAACTGCTCTACCGCTTCGCAATTGGCCCAAGTACAAAATAATACTAAACCCTTACTTACTCTAGTGATTGAGAAGCGGCTACACGTGAATTATCATCCTATTTTCACTGATTGAATCGAAGGATAGGCACATGTCATGGTAATCCTGTGAAATGATAAAAAGTCATTGCAACATTTTTATTTATTTATTTTATATGAACCGCCTTCATTGTGTGTGATCTCAGGGCTTCTCAAATTCTATTCGTTTCCTCGCACCCATTGTCCACGATGATCTTCCAAGTTTTTACGTGTGGCTTTGGTTACTGCTTGAGGATTTTCATTTCATCGTGAAAGCCGTAAAATGCTGCTGGGCGAGCAATTCTTTTCAGGGTTCTGAGATAGCCGGGCTGGAGCATTTCCAGCAAGACTACAGACAGTGATTTTTTTTCCAGAAAAGTCGGTTAGCAAATTCCCAACCCCAAAGAGATGAGAGGCTTGGTTGGATCGGAGTGAAATCGAGCTAGAGCCATGCTCGTAATGGCGGACATCACTGCCACTGTGCTATCCGCTCCCAATGCATCATTGCAACTGGTTTATCGAAAGATTTAATACCGATTCCCGTTGCCTTGTAGGGTAATGGTACTCTCATTGCTTTCGTCAAGGCAACATTTTGGCAAGTCTTTTACAGCTGCGGTCGAAAACGCAGTGACGATTTGTGCACCAGGATTATACCCATTAACGGATGATTGCTGATAGTGCCTTTACGGCAAAAGAACTGCCTGAGAGAAAGACGGAGCAGAAGTCTAGGTTGGAGCCGTGGGTAACGCGCAAGCCACTGAAAGGATAATAGCGGGTTCGAACGACAGCAGTGATTCTAATTTTTGCTCGTATCTCAACATCCCTATAGTTGAGTTTTACAGCTGTTCTTGCAATCATGGATAAAGACCTTTGTGAAAGAGTGTTATTTGTCTACCAACCATTGCTTTTGAGACTATATTCCAGCAATGTTCGAAAGAATACAACGAAGAAAAAAGTAATAGTTGGCGTTGTTTGGAGAAAAAAAGGAAACTTCAGTGTATTAAACGACTAGTTTTATGAAGACTACTAGCGTTTCAAGGTCTTCGCTCGATTTCAAGTCGGATTGAATAGAGTCGGCTCGTGTTAGCTTACTAATCGAGAGTATTCTGGTTATTTATGTTGACGTTTCTACGGATCTCCCTCATATGAGGGATCTCGAGCCGGCTGGTCGCGAGGCTACGCTACGCGTCCCCAGGTGGCGGAAAGGGGTTAATCGCGGACCAAAAGCAATCTTTGCTGCTCTGAGACGCAGATGGATCCAGGAGATACACTCCCTGTTTATGCTACGCTGATTTGGCACATACTTTCTGTATTTGCTGGGCATATTCATGCATGCGCGTGTGGGTGCGTTCTTGCTTATGCGGATTGTATTCTAGGAGTCAATTCGGCCAAAAGTCTGCAATCAAGTGGGGGGGTTAGAAGTCGACTCCAAGAAATAAGCTCATGTCCGCTCTGGAAGAGCCTAGCAAACTACGCGTGAGTATACCCAGCTGCCACGTTCAAAGCCCAGCAAGCTATACGTGGGTATCAAAATGCTAAACAGGGTGAAAAAACGGGCCTCATTCCCCTGACCCCGAAAGAGCTCCCAGTTTCGCAGCATTGGGTAGGACGAGTACAGAGAGGCTGCTAAAATCTCAGGGTCAATGGAAGCTGTATGGATTACAAAGAACTATGGCGACGATCTGCATCTACAATGCACGTACACTTGCATCCGATTCCTCGATAGAAGACTTGTTTATTCAACAATGAAGGACAAGGTACGACGTCATCGGCCTGGACGAAACGAGACGACGCCGGTCATTCAACGCCGTCTATGACACCGAAGAAAACTGTTCCTCGGAACATGCGACAGTAGAGGAGTCGGTGGTGTCGGCGTTTTCGTCAACACGAACTTATCCATGAACATCGATTCATTCGAACAACTTACTACCCGAATCGGGCGTTTACGATCAAAAAGACGTCGATCAATACCGGCTTTGACAATCTTCGTCGTTTACGCGCCGACATCAAACTATGACAAAGAAGTCGAAGCGTTCTATGTGGAATTGGACAAGTTTTTCAGAGAAGACCATACATTCTTCAAGGTCATAATTGGAGATTTCAACGCCATGATTGGACCAATGAGAACGTCTGAAAAAGGTTACATTGGGACCTAGGGATTAGAGTGGTACGAACAGGGTAAGCGGCTGTCTGAGTTTTCATGGCGACCAAGTCAATCCATGGTAACTCGCAATCCAGAAGCTCCACCCTCAACGCTTAACGTGGGAATCCTCCAATGGAGAGTACCATAACGAAGCAGACCACATCACAGTAAATACACGGTTTTCCTTGACCGATGCCACCTGTTGTCTCAAAATTCTGCACGGGATCAGACCACCGTCTCCTTCATCCAAGATTCTATTTTTGGCGGGAAGGAGACAAAGCCGCTAAATACGAAAACCGAAGTCCTAGAACCACCGTAAACTGGGACTTACTCAATTCATTAGTTGGCTGTTAGGAAGATGCTGTTATCGATAACATCGACGAAGAATGTGATCGGCTCATTCTTCTTCAATATCTTCACGTTAGCGATATGAAAGCTGAGAGTTCGAAAGTCACCAAGAGACGTCCGTCTCCAGAAACACTAGAGCTGATAAGCCAGCGTGGAATCGCACGTGCTGCAGGCAACCGCGAGTTGACATCCGAACTTGTAAAACAATGCAGGCAGACCATAAAAGAAGTTGTTAAAGAAAGAAGAGGAGCAGTAATGGTGTAAGCTCCAGAGGCTGGGAAAAGCATTCGCAAAGCCTACCAATGCTGCGCCAATTACATGACCAAGATGATTGCACTCCGGCACCCAGACGGAACACTTGCAGCGTCCAGAAAGGCAATGGAGAAAAACATTCACGAATACTACTCGGATCCCTTCGATAGCCACATTCACCTTCCGTCATATGAAATAAAGGAGGATGGATATGTTGCACCACCGGTTCTCCCTTCCGAAATCCGACATGCCATTTCGTCGGTGAAAAGTCAAACAGCACCAAGTCCGGATAGGATAATATCAGAACACCTGAAGAACCTTTCGCCAGTCCTCATAAACACACTGGCCCTGCTGTTCACACGTTACCTGTCTGAATTGTCTGAGTTATTCTAAAAAAACACATTTCTACCTTCACTGATATACAACGCTTACAAGTGCATTGGCGTAAGCATTAATCTTCGTAATTTGGAAGCTAACATCCACACGGTAACACGGTTCATTGAAGTATCGCGAGAGTACAGAAGAACGCTCTGTCTCGCTTTCATCGCTTTGCAGAAGGCCTTTGATTCAGTTGAGATAGAAGTCTTGGAAGCCCTTGATAGTGAAGGAGTCCCTGCTCAGCACATAAAGATTCTTCGTAAGGTGTACAAAAATTTCACAACCAAGATATCACCATTCTACAACGATATTAACATTGACGTCAAAAGAGGTGCTAGGCAAGGCGATACCATCTCGCTAAAATTATTTACCGCCACCCTCCAGAACGTCATATGAACATTGGAATGGGGTAATATTTGAGCGAAAATCGATGGTCGATAGTTACACCATCTTCGCTTTTCTGGTGACATCGTCCTTATAACACCAAACATTAGCCAAGGGGAACAAATGCTTATCGACTTTAATGAAGCCTGTGGAAAGATTGGTCTTCGGCTAAATCTCACAAAAACCATGTTCATGAGTAACGGATTGGTTTTGCATTTCCCATTAACGCTCATCTGAACGAATATCTCCGAATCCTCCAGTTATGTCTATCCAAGTCGAAAAATCAATATGATGGACGACTTAGCTCCAGAGCTGAGCCGAAGCAAGCGAGTGGCTTGGGGAGCTTTCAAGAGCATCGAGGATGTGGTGAAGAGAACAAAGACCACCTGACTCCGTGCCCACCTTTTCGACTCAACAGTACTTTCTGCCCTAACGTATGCCTCAGAAATCTGGTCACTGCGTAAGCAGGATGAAGGGTCACTCAGCGTTATCGAATTCGCAGTAGAAAGGACTATGCTAGGAGTATCCCGTTCAACACAAGTAATGGATGTGATCCGAAGCTTCGACCTGCGTCAACGATCGAAAATCAAAGATGCCGTTCTGTACGCCAAGCAGTCGAAGATGAACTGTGCCGGACACGTAATGCGTATGAATGACAACCGATGGACAACAGCCGTTAGCGACTGGATTCCTCGGGATCTCAAACGTACTGCAGGAAGACCACCGACCCGATGGTCAGATTTCTTCACGAAGAGCCTAGAAGAAAGATATGATGCTCAACGAGTTCCTAGAGCGAGTAGAACCCACTGGGCTACTCTTGCACACTAGAGGGAATAATGGAAGATTTACTGGCGCCCGCTCTTGTCACTGGACGATCAACGGGACTACGGGTGATACAGGTGATGTTAAGGTTTTATAAAAGTCAGTATTCGGAATACAGTCTTATGTAATTATTAACCGCAGGTCCAGGGTACGATAGACCGCAACGTGAATGAAAAATTAAACAGACGATAGTGAAACGTGGGCAATATTCGCTGTTTTTTGATTTGTGGCTTTTCCCATCTGTACTCGCTGCGGAATCATGATCTATTATCATAATTAGGGTTAAAGCAGAACTCGTCGATCAGCAGCAAGCCTCTGCCGTCATCACACCTTTAGAATTTGAAATTCTAGGAACAGGAAATAAATTTTATATATCAGAACGTAGGTGGCCGATGACCCAACTGAGTTCGTATTAGGAGTCATTCAAAAGAGTAGAAATAGCGTAAGGAGAGTTAGAGAAATTAACAGATTTGCTCCAATCTAGAAAAGGTAGAGTGCTATGTAGGTTAAAGACCTCGATTTTTTTGGGTGTTGAAAACTTTGAAGTAATTCGACTGAGGTTGAAAAAAGAAGATTTGGGAAATTA